AAATTAGAAGTAATTGTGATTAGTTTGTTAGCTATATTTTTTCATGAAGTGACTTTGCAAACATATAGCTTAATTTTTTGCTATAATGTCATTTGTGGTCTCAAAAAATATGACGGCTTTCACTTGACCTAGTATCCTAAAGAGTTGAAAATCAATAATATGTTTTATTCTAAAATGACTTTTAAAATGTGGGTCTCTTTCAACTTTTAAAAGACTTGGCCTAAGAAAATTAAGCTGCTCAGTAGTATGCTTGCTTATTAGCATGCATGAGGGCCTAGGTTTGATCCCAAGCACTGCAAAATGTATGTATGTACGTATGTATGTATTTAAGAGCTCCACTTAGTAATGGCCTTCAAAGAAAATTTTAGTAATAAACTCATTTTTTCAAAATGCAATCTTTTACACATTTAAAACTTTCATACAGCATACAAAATGGCACAAGTTTTAAAGTTAAAATTTGTAGTTTTCTTATTAAAGTATGTCAATTGGCAGTATTCAAAAATACTGAAATTTAGGATCATGTTTGCTGTAATTTATATCTACATTTTTTCACGTTAACAAGTAGTTACAAATAGTAAAACTTTTATATTACTAATTCTGTTATTACATTTCCTCTTGATTCAACTGATCCAGAAGCTAGGAAGTAGAGAAATAGAAAAATTTCTTCCAAATTTTTGTGACTGGAAATCTAGTAGTTTATGATTTATCTCTCATGTATTTTCTTTTGCCCTATTTTGCCAATAACAATAATAATTATACTGAGTTCTCCAAATTTTCTATTTTTTCCTTGCTTGTTTTTGACACCAAACCAGATAATACTATTGTCAATATCACCAGTGGCAAATGTATTTACCAAATAACTGTACATGCCAGGAACAACTCTAAGGAGTTGTATGTATATTACCTCAATTAATTCTCATAACCACCCTATGGGACGGGAACTATGATTATCCCCCACTTACAGACAAGGAAACAGACACAATGATTAAATAATTTGTCCAAGAACACCAACTAAATGTTTGAGAGAGGATTTGAATCTAGATAGTCTGGTTCCAGAACTAGGGTCCTTAACCACTAATCTAAACTCACTCCAATTCAATCAAGATAGAATGAATAGCAAATTACGTTGGAATAATTTTATTGGTTTATACTGATGAGTAACTTAGCTAAACATATTACCTCTAGGAGGTGCTCTGATTTGGTAACAAGTTTGATCTTAAGACCAATCATTTGGAAATGAGTAAAAAAGTGCTAAATTCAATTAAATAAAAATATTTTGAAGGAAGAAAAAAGAAACCAGTGATATACTATAAGATTTTGCTAAACCAAGGTTTAAAAACCAAACATATCAGAAAGGTACTAGCTAAATAGGGGCATATAATGAAAAAACAGAAAAGTTCTACAAGAACAATACCTGAAAGAGGCTGAAGTCCTTAAACTATAAAGCCTTAAATATAGGAAGAGATGGAGGAAAAAAGCACCTAGATGCCATAATAAATTAAAAGTTCACAGAATTAGAAAGACTATAAAGAATGAGAAAAATAATCTACTTATTGAAATTCTATGCTTCATCTTATAAATGTTAGAAAACAGAAGTTAAAAAATTCTTAACAAAAAATATTTGATTTATATTTATACTCAGGAAAATCCCCCAAATCTACTTTAATCTGGTGGTAATAATGTTCACTTAAAAAAACGTTACTTGAATTACTAAAAAGTGCTAAATAATCTCTTTTTAGGTAGATGTGGACTGCTTATGATATCCTTATAAAGAAAATGTAGAAATAAAAGATCTATGTTTATAGTTAGTTACTTAAAACCAAAGAATGTTTCCAATGGATAACTGCCAATATGGAGACCAGTTTTTTTATTCTTTCAAGTTTTCTTGTTTTTTTTTTTTTTTTGGTACCAGGATTGAACTTGGGACCTTGAGCTTGCAAGGCAGGCAGTGGAACTACTAGGCCAAATCCCTAGCCCTATTCTTTCAAGTTTTAAAGTATCATTCAGGATATATAAGTAGAATATATAAAAAAGGTATTTATCAAGAAGCTATAAAGTTTTAGTATATTTTCAACCTAATTTTAAAAATAGCACCATTTCCAACATGTTCTTAGTAAAAACAGCCTTATTCAAAGACAAAACCTTGTAAAATACTGTGTAGTAAAGGCTGGCTGGGAACTGAGAAACTCTGTAATTCTTAGATGGGTGGGTGTAAGTGGGGCATACGTGCAATCACAGCACTCTGGGAGGCTTCAGAGAGAGGATCACAAGCTTAAGTCCAGCCCAGGCAACTTACTGACTTAGAACTTGACTCAAAAATAAAAAAGCTCGGGATGTAGCTTAGTGCCTTAGGTTCAATCCCCAGTACCACAAAAACAAAACAAAACAAAAAACTGTTTTACACTTCAAAATTTATTGGGAGATGAAGAAAAGCAAAACAATAGATAAAATAAAGTGCAAATTAAAAGTATTCCCAAGTGCTTTAGGAATAGAGGTATAGTTAATATAGTTTATGTATTACAGATTTTTACTTTCATTAAATGAGGACTAATTGTAATTGTAACTTACAAATTAAGGCTTAAGCCTAAATTGAATGAAACAGGAATGAAAATTTTATATATTGTTACATATTATCATGTACCAATAATGTAGAGTAGTAGTACACAGATTAAACCAAGTACTTTTTCTCCTCCTTTTCCTTCTTTTCAAACAAGGTCTTGCTATGTAGTCCAGGCTGGTCCTGAAATCTTGCCTCAGATCCTCTTGCTTCAGCCTCTGGAGTGCTGGTATTACAGGTGTGCATCACCATACCTGGCACACAAGTACTACTTGTATACTTCTATAAATGTGGCTTGCTCAACATGCTATAATATTGAAAAGTACTGATTCTGTATAAAAGGTACTAGTAAATGCTTGATGAGAAATACATCCTGAAGTGAGTGAGGAGGTGCATGCCTGTAATTCCAGCACTTCAGGAAGCTGGGGCAAGAGGATCACCATAAGTTTGAGGACAGCCTGGGCTATACACTAAGTTCAAGGCCAGATGAACTACACAGACAGAACCTGTCTCAAAAAGCCAAGAGGGGGATGTGGGGGGGGGGGATACATTTTAGAGATTATGGGATAAAAGCAAAGTAAAAATTTCACTGGATTCACTGCAAAAGGTTATTAGGAGACAGACTCATACTTAGATGTATTAACTGGAAGGTGAGTTACTTTCTGTTACTGATAAATTGTAACTGCTGAAAGGTCTACATACAGTACATAGCTCAATTAAGAATGAAAATGGAACAGGAATATAATCAACTTTAGAAGTAAGTGATCCAATCTTGGTTTTACTAAAACTATACCACAAAACTGAAGTATTAAGAAGGAATAGTGAGAAAAGGCAGTACGTAAAAATAGCTTTTATAGGTACTTGAGTTATAGTTTAGGTATATTTTATATCAATCAAAGGGTAGAACTCTAAATTTACTCTTTTTTTTCTCGGTACCTACCAGGGATTGAACTCAGGACTTTGTGCTTGCGAGGCAGGTGTGGCATCCCTGAGCTAAATTCCCTGGCCCTCTCAATTTACTCTTAATTACAAGTGTAGGATATACACTGTCTACTGTAGAACAACCTTTGTTATTCAATCCAAGTTTGGAGTCCCAGCAAATAATCACTCTTGGTTGAGTAGTGGTGTAGTACATGGAATAAGGAGGCAATGACTCATCCAGGGTCCTTTAGCAATTTGTCACATCAGAAAGGGGGGTTCATATTAAACTAGTTAAATTTTATGTCTTAAATTTATTTAAAATCAAGTTTTTAAAATTTGTTTAAGATTATATTTATATACAATAAAGACTACCTTACATGTAAGGAAATCTAAATATAAAACGTATTACTGGTATATTTGAACCAAAGAAAGGAAATCCATGTTAAGACTCTGCCACAGTCTTTGGGACACTGGGAATTTCAAGTTCATGTTATTCAGAAATCAAATAGGCTGAACCCTAAATGCTAATATTTTCAAAGCATATCTGCTTGTTTTTCTTTGAGAACTATAAAAATGTACTCAGTGCTACAAAGAAACTTTAACTACCTAACCATAAGAATTTATCATTACCTTTTGAAACCTTTATACACTGTAACATCTCAAACAGAATCCAGTTTGTGTAAGAGAATATTAAGTGAAAACTTAATAGAAAGATGCTAGAATTTTTTCTCATTCCAAACACAGGGAATTCATTAATTCAGGGTTTTTTGTTTTGTTTTGCTGGCGGTGCTGGGGATTGAATGCAGGGCCATGCATGTATGTGCTATGCCAGTGCTCTACCAGTGAGCTACCTCTCCAACTCTAATTCATTTTTATTTGAGTAACTTAAATTATCTTTTCAGGCTACTTTAAAAATTCCAGAAATTGAAGAGGTTTAAAGAAAAGGTTTTAAAACTGATTAAATTCATTATTAGTTTTAACAGTAGGTTCAAAAACATTTTATAAAACAGAACTACTATCTTTGGATTAGTTTTTAGATGTTAGAGATGAAATTAGTCATAATGGATTTTTTTAGTCATAACATAATATGTAAATTAACAATTCTGTTACCCAAATTTAGTTATAACTTATTGTCTATAATTCTGTGCATTGTCTTCTTCCTCTCATCTCAAACTTCATCATAAAACTGGCTTATTACAAATGAACAAAAAACATAATGAATTATTCTTTGCTTTCATTTGGTCAGAAGTTAAAGAAGACTGGAGACAGACAGTAATTCTGCCTTCTCTTTCTCTGACATCCAGGATGAAATAGGATCCTGGGAGGTAACCTCCTTTTTCACTTCCATATGCTTTCACTGATCTAGTGGGCCAGGCAAGAAATTAATTAAGTTAACTGTACTGCAGTTAATTGTACTAAGAAATGTAAAAGCCAGAGGTTTGTTTTTACTTGAGTTGATTAAGCAATTTATGCTTTACTTTATCTCTAAACAATCAAATACAACACATATTAGAAACAGTACCTTTTTGGTTTCAAATTGTGCCTCTTCCTGACAGCATCCTCTGCAATCAGGATCCAGCTGAAGTAGGTTGAACTGTCCAAGAAGATCACAAGAGCTGCAGAGCAAGTTGCTAGAGAAGCCTAACTCTGTGCATGCCTCAGATGAAAACTCTGCCTTGAAAGCAGACACCTGAAAATAAAAATGAGAAAAACATAATGGGGCTAGAGTCTAACACACTGGAGATGATTGCTGAATTGTTTCAAATTCTTACGTATTTTTGAATTCTACAGCCTTACATAAGTCTTTAGTTCTTCCTTCTCTTCCCAGCTTTTTTCTTAAAAATTCGGACATCTTTTAGTTTAGCAAAAGATATATCATTTAATAATATGCATGACATCTTTATTATATATACAGTAATTTTTAAAAAGTAATTTCCTTATAAGAAATTAAAAAAAAAATTTCCATTTCATTTTAAGGACTCAGCACCTGTTTATATGGATTATGGAATAACACTGTCTGCAGATGGTCTGCAGGGAAGGGCAGGAAAAGGGTGGGGTGAGGGAAGGCAGGAGGACATAAGAAATCAAACACTTGGTTTAGGTACAAGCTCCCACCCTTTACAAGACACATGACCCTGAGCAGGCTATCCTTCCTAAGCTTTAATTTCCTTATTGATAAAGCCAGAAACAGTAATTTCCACATAAAACAGGCTGCTAGAAGATTAAGTGAAGTTATATAAACTAACCAGTCAGAATGACTGACAAAAGCAGGCTTTCAAAAATATTAGCTCTTTCCCCAACCATTCCTCTCATTTCTCAGTCAATGTGGTGTATTTCCCTTTGTCTAAGGCCAATCCCTCTCTCTACCTGTGCTTTGGAGTCTATCTTCTGTCATATCCACAGGGGCTTCATTTCACTGACAACTTAATCCTACAGTATACTCAAGCACTATGGTTCTAACTGCTCTTACTATGTTGTCATTTCTGAATTGTTACTATTACTGAATTTCTGATTTACACTCCACTAAATTTGCTAAAATTAGCAAATCATAAAATGCAAAGGCACTCCAACTAGTTCTACTTCAGTTGTTCCTTCAAAGGTTTGTCCTCCTCTTCCTTTCTTCTATGTATTCCTTAAATGCTGTTGCTTCCCACAGCTCTGTTTTTGGCTCTATCTTCACCTTACACACTTTCTATGGATGATCACTTCCTCACCATGATGGCTTCAAATACCATTTCCTGAAAACTCTCCAAGTCTTGATCTTGGGTGTCAAGCTTCTGAAGCCAAGAGCCCATGTGATGTCTCATTTAGATCTTGCATATACACTATAACTTTAAAAATCGGTAACAGTGAAATTTATCTTTTTTTCTTAAATGTAGCCCTCGTAACGTATTCATTATCTTAGTCAAATGGCAGCATTTCCTTGACCACCTAGTTTCCCAGTTAAGTCATCCTACATGCTTCATTTAGCATTCTCACAACCTATTAGCTGACACATTTTCACAATGCTGTCTGTTAAGGAACTTTCAAATCTTTTCCTGACTCAGGTGCATAAATGATCACTGCCAGCTCTACTTCTCATTACTTTCCCAATTCCATCTTACTTTCTAGCTATAACAAATTCCTTTAGTACCCTTAAGCATAAAACTACTCCATACACTTTTGTTCAAGTTTTTACCTATGTCTATGTTTTTACCACTTCTTTGCCCTCTAAATTTCCACTTATTTGCAAGAACCTAATTAGTATCAGTCTCCTAGAAAGCCTTCTCTGAATCATGTCAATCTTTAGCCATAGTAATTTTCTTCTCTGAGGAAGAAATTTGTGCATAGCTATAAAATAGTACCATTTATAACAATGTAGTATGTAATATAGGATTGCCTGACTCCCTAAAACAATACTGTGAGCTCTTCTGAGGGTAAGCAGTAAGTTGTCTGTGTATTTCTAGTCCTTGAGCTAGTTCTTACATGTTTGTTAAATAAATGAATTAGTTAAAACCGTAGCCATAGTCTCTTTACCTTTGTCTGTCTCTGTCTTTCTCCTGTCTCCTTTTATGACTCTGGCTCCCCCCCAACACTCTCACCCACTCCAGACCCCTTCCATCCCCATCTCTCTGCATTTCTCTCTTGCCCACTCCCCTAGCTCTCATCCTCTTTCCCTAAGAAAAAAAAAGGAAACAAAACAAAACACCATAGCTTCAAATAGAGAGAATTTCAGATTGTTTCCAACTATAGTACTGTAGGCAATTTTCTAGACTAAAGGTCTGTACACTTTAAGCAAATGCCAAACAGCAATTATGTTAGGCTTTAGAGGCAATACGGTTTCTGATGCAAATACTCAACTCAGCTACTGGAATACAAAGCAGTCAAAGACATATATGAAGGGGTGTCACTGTATTCCAGTAAAACTCTTTACAAGAATAGGGCTGCCTGGATTTGGCCTAGCAGTTGTAGTTTATCAACTCTTTTGTAAACTGGGTAGAATCAAAACCAGTGCCTTTTCTCAGTGAAAATATTGCTAGCATTTCACTCAAATGCTGATCATCCCATTGGTCTTATACTGAGTCAATACTTTAATGTGAAACTTCATCATCTTTTGCCCTCTAATAATGCAGAATGTAAGTAATCTTCAAAATAGATCAAATATCCCAGCAAAGCAGAAAGGACTTATCAAACTTTTGGTTGGCTGGTGTGCTTGGCGTGGTTAGTTGGTTAGTTGGTGTGGTTAATCCCGCTAGTTCAGTGGTGCAGCAGGCTGTGCATCATTGGAAGCTCTAAAAGGTTTATCATCATTGGTCTAATTTAACTATGTAAGACACTTGTTACTGTACTATTACTGTACTTTGTATAATTTCTCTGTTAGTAACGTGATCTGTAAGATCCTTTTCACACGTTAATTTGAAATTAATGTGGCAGATTATATTTTCTAAACATAGCTGTATTAATATGCACACATCATCCCATATGTTCTTCTTACCAAGTGGCTGGTAGTCTTACACTGAGATGTGGACTGTTGGAACAACTGAGGGTCTATTGTTTCCTCTTCTTGAATCTGGCCAGTTGTGACTATTCTGACCAAGAAGGTGGCAGAAGTTGACACTGTGTGATTTAGACATTAGATCACACACAAAAAAACCAGCCTCTGGCTAGCCTCCCTTGTCCCCACTATCAATTGTGGAACTGAGCCACTATGCTGTAAAGAAGCCTCAACTACAATGGCAACATATGCAGGCCCATGTACAGAGCAAGTGAGATACCCAAGTGACAATCAGCATCAACCACTAAACATGTGAGTTGAACAGCCTTCCAATTTTAGACCCCAACCTTTCAGCGCAGGTCTGATATACCATAGAACTAACAAGCCATCCTTGGTGTGCTCAGTCTGCATTGCTGACCCACTGAATCCAAAAGCAAAATAAACAACTGTTTCAGACCACTAAATTTTAGGGTAATTTATTTTGCAGCCATAGAACTGAAACACCCAATGAAAATGAGTTTATTATAAAAATTCTGAACTGGTTAAGAAATTGTAATCCAAACTTAACAAAATAGAAATTTCAAGGGGCTAATTGTATTAGGGACTTTGGAACCTACAGATGCTCAGTGGGTAACTAAAAGTAGAATAAAGTGTGGCACCTCTGTCTTCATCTGTTTTTTTTGGTACGGGGAATTGAACTCGGGACCTTGCACTTACAAGGCAGGCGGCGGAAACACTGAGCTAAATCCCCGGCCTGTCTTCATCTGTTTTACTGCCTTAAAACTTTCAGATTCCCATTCAGCACTATATGTAGGCATGTCAATCATTTAAGGAGTGTCTGTCTAAAAACTATAATACAGGGTTTATTAGCTCTAAATTTTACCCTATCTTACATCCCTTCAACACTGAGGACACCAAGACAAGAGTAACTTTTCAGGATTTGCAGGGACATCCAATTGCCAGCTCCTATGATGTCTAATTACAGATGCCCCCCCCCCCCCGCCCGCCCGCAGTGATGCCTCGAAGCCTCTAGTCATTTTGTTATGATGTGTATCTAGATGTCCCTCCCAAAGCTGCATGTGCTCATAGATGGGGCTTTTCAAGGTGACTATGAGAGCATTATAGCTGATTTGCTGTTAGGAGGTGGGGCCTGGTTGGAGGAGGCAGGTTTATCTCCCCTCCCAACTCCTCCCCTCACTCTCTGCTTGCTGGCTGCCATGAGGTGAACAGCTTTCCTCCACCAGACCCTTCCACCATGCCCCTCTGCCATGCTATTTCTTCTTTAGAGCTGCTGACTGTGGACTGAAACACGAGCCAAAATAAACCTTTCCTCCCTTAAGTTGCAGATTTCAGGTAGTGTGTCTCAGCAAAAAGAAAAGTGACTAAGACATTGTCCTAAACCTGCAGTCACCTCATATTCCAGGAAAAACCAAGCTTTGCAGACCACCTCATGATGAGGTCACCTCCCAAGTGGAGCTTAGGTTGCACCCCATAAGCAGGAAGCATCATCTCAGGATAGGAACCAAACTGCCTCCTCAAGTGACAATGGCTCTCCCAGGACATCACAGAACTTAAAAAGGAGAAAAAGTACAGAAAGCATCTATTGTACTGCCCATTAAAAGGTGTGTGCTTAATAAATGTTAGTATTATTCCCCTCTTCCACTATGAAAACACACTGAAAAACCACAAAATACTATAAAAGAATTTTAATTATTACATTAGACAGGGAATTGAGGATAAGCACAGGGGAGGTACAAGGTATCTTTAGTTTCATGAATGAACTTTTTTCTTTTCCTTTTTTTTTTGGGGTGGGGGCTGTTTCCTTCATTGCTCTGCAGATTTAAGGTTTTGACTCCTAAGAACATCCAGGGTATATGTTTAAACAATTCACAGAGATAACTACTAAATGCTAATACACAAGAGTTCAAAATTATAAACTATGCCGGCTATCTTTATTGCCAAAACATTAAATTTTGTAAAAAAGGTAAGCTTCTAAGGACAGAGTTCTGGCTGAGATAATCATCTAACTCTCTCCATTTGAAAGTAGGATTAACTAGGAGACTCTACCCCTTCTTCTCCATGTATTATTAAATGTTTTATTATACTTATTCACACACACACAGAGTTGTTTCCTCAACAGTATTCACTCCGAGAAAACTCACAGGTTTCTCATGTAATTCCGAAGAGATTTCAAGTCAGACAAAATCAAATAGATG